CCACATTTTACTTGTGGCTCTCAAGGAAAGGGGCTCTGCATTAAAAGAAAAAAAACGAAAAAAAATATGTGATTTTAGGAAAAGCTATAACGCTTTTCTTAAAGCGCATCACATGAGTGATTCTCTTGAAAGGCACATTTTTATGCCCTAATTAATTTTGTCGACACTATTTCAATTAATTGTCGACACTAATTTCAATTATTGAAGCTATGCATTCTAATAATAAATAATGACTATAATACCGGAAACTATTTTTCAATCGATTTCCATAAGCTAAATTTATATGGAACCGTTAAACGTTTCAAATGTTTGAAGCAGTGTCTCCAACTTATTTTTGGCTTTTGCAGTGTTCTTTTATTGTAATATCTTTCATCATTGTGCGTGGCACAATTCTCTCTCTTTTCATTACATTTGTACTATTTTAGTATTTAGGAAAATTTAGTATATCAATTCCAAATCTATGATGATCAGTAACACATTCATGATTTAGTACAAAGAAATACAAAACAGAAATGAGTACATAATTTTGTCGTATTGGCAATTTAAATATTTATTTAGCGACGTTTAGAAAGTATAATAATTGAAAGAATAATTAGTGGATATGCAATGAATATGCTGCAACAGAGGAAAAATACAGAAACCTTTCTTTTTTTGTTTTTCATTTTTAGCGTTAGTATACTGGCGCTTCTTACTTAAAATACAGAGCTTCCACTACCATTTGCTTGATTTCAAATGCTTTAAATAAGAATGCGTGCAAGTAAAATGTTTGTGCGCTCAAGTAAAATGGCAGAATTAAGAGCGTATGCAAATCCGTGCACACTAGAATCCGTGCAAGAGTGTGAAATTTTCTAAATTTGAAAATTTCAGAAACCAAGCAAGAACGTAATAAAACACAAGTTTTTACTTTTGCTCTTGAACGTAATTAAATAAAATGTGCGCTTAAGAATGTATATAAAGATATAACAACAATATTTACAACAATGTTACCTTCGCGCAAATTTATACTCAAGCATAAGAGTGTGTGATCTTTCTACGTTCTTGAATGACGCTTTAAATTTACGGTTTTGTATCTTCTTCAACTTTTGGCATGCGGGTAAGATTGTATGTATAAAGGTCGCTATTGTTCAGAAGAAGAATTCGTTAGATCCTTATATCTATAAAGAAAACGTGACGTACTATATAATATTTAAATATAAAACCAAATTTATAAAACAAAGAGCATACATTTCTTTGTTTCTTTGTTTGATTGACGATATAGCAGATTTTTGATAATCCAATGATAAAACAAAATTCAATTAAGTTCAGATTAAATGAGAAACATTAGTTTTTTTTTTATTGCATATTTATTAGTGCAATATTTGATGATTTAATTAATATATATGATCTTGAAAAAATTACGTATTATTTTTATGTATAGTATAATATTTAAGTTTTATGTGAATTATCTCTAACATGGATATCCTTCAGTTCGTGGATAATTAGCATCTTGTTGTGATTTGTGAAGATAATTCTGAGATAATATCTTCTTTGAGTTGAGATCTTTAGACATTAATATATAAGTTACCAAAAGAGATGTGCATTGCAGGTATAATGCATATGGGAAAAATATGAATAAAAATTTATTTTATATACATAATAATTGATATGGTTATTATCAATAACTAATGTCGAATATTTTTACCAGATCTTTTATTGCATACATTTTGCGATAAATGAATGGCATATAGTGTATATATGTATATGTATGTACATCTGATTATGTATATAACAGATTTATAACATATATTTACAATGAATGAATGTATACACGATTGAACTCTCGTGTGTATATTATATCTTAATCTCCCCTCTTCCTTATATTGCAATCAGAATCTCTATTGTAAGAATACTAAGAATGTTTGTCAAAAGTATATAAATATTCTTTTCGATGATCGTTAGTTGTATTAGTTCCGTTTAACATGTTTTATTTCCACATTTTAGTTTTATGATTTTAATTGTTATAAGAAATTTCTTTTAAATGTTTACACATTTAAATCTTTTGCTCTGCAATTTAATTTAAATTTATCGAGTATACGTGTATCTTTAAATTTTATCGGATTCTGTGGGCATACTTTCTTCTTGTGCGATATCGTTCAATGGTATCACGGCTCTGTTCGCGTTATCGAACTCTCCTCGGGGATTCGCTCGACGTCGCTTTTTAGATCTCCTTTCCGGCGGGCATAATAAATTTCGAAAAGCGTAAAAGTAACAGACCAGCATCACGATCATCACTGTGAAGCAGAAAATCGAGAGAACAATGACAGCGATTGTAAGTCCATCCATCTCGTCTCGTGAATTTGACGCTGTTGATGCTGTAACAAAAATTTATTTAACGCATTTTAATTTTTTTGTAGTAAGTCTGATTGATTGAACGCTGCACACACAAAAGAAACATTTTTTTTTCCTTTGATTTGTAATTTGTAGCTTGAAAAGGTGACCTTAATAAGGACTATCGGAAAACGATGGTACATTTTTCATTACTGCGTAAAAATTAATTAAGACCTTTTAATTTTAATTGACTATTATTAGACATTGTTCTTTCTTAATTATTTGCCGATTTCGTTTTACGATTAATGTTTTACTGGCTGGCATCCACATTAAGGTTTTTCTTATTATATATGATAATGTTTATATTTATTTGTTAGGTTTCAAACTCAATGTGTAATATACGACAAAAAATTATTATTTACTCGAGATAGATTCTATATTAATTCGATCTCCGTGTACCGAACTGTCAGTTAGATCGAATGCGTAGAATTTTTTTATGTCTTTCGATCATCGCAGAAGTGAATGTAACCGAACGATAGGATGGTTGGCAGAAAATCGAGCAAGAAGGGAAAAAGTAATTCCACGCTGTCGCAGTCATCACTGCAGGCCTTACCCTTTTTCACATTCGACGTAATCACATTTCCTTTTTTTATTTTATTTTTTTTTCTCGATGTGTACGAGACACTTTCGCTCGATCGATTATCTACATTTCTACTTGAATTCTAACACTTCTAACCAGACCGAATATATTCTCTTCCATCGAAAATGAAGATAATAACAGACAAGATCTATGTCTAAGAGAGTACGTGAGTACTTCAAGAGAGAAATTCGCATTTTATTGCGGATGAGAGAGAACACGGAGATCCTGAACATCGTGTACGTAATACATACATTAAAACATGTGGAACGATAAATTTGTGAATAACTCAAGAGATACCGATATAAAAGATCGAGTGTTTTTCACATAAATCTTAGATGTCTGTCAACCGATATATCTTCAGATTTATCACTTAGGGAATTTATGTTGGAAATGTCGGACACGGTTATATAAAGTCAGAGCTTTGCGCGATGTTAAACATCACTGTGTAAAATGAACATTTCTTCGCTACATGAACTATGCGCGAAATTTATGAATTGCAAGCTCAGACATTTCTCGATGTAGCGTGAAGGGATCCGGAATTAAAACAATTCCTGGAAAATAGAGAGAGAGAGAGAGAGAGAGAGAGAGAGAGAGAGAGAGCGATACATAAATCGCCATTTTTTATATATATGAAATATATTTTATGTAAAATAAGAGGAAAAATATATACAAAATATATGACATCTTTTTATTATATCATAATATGTCAAATTTTCTTCGTGAAAGATATCACGTTTACAACTTCCGATTCATCATTCTCTTACATCCTCCCTCGCAAAATCGCTGAGTCTATTCGTAAATATTGGTTCCTTGAGGCAGTAAAAGCACCCTAAATGGCACACTTGCTTTCGGAGCTGAAAAGCTTTATGTTCCTTTGATAACAATTTATATACAGAATCTAATTTCATATTGATTGAAGATGATGCTTTATATTATATTATAAGAAACTTTTTATATAGAAACGTAATTTTAATATACATTCAAAATCGAGATCGAAATAATATTAATGCGCAAATATAACAAATGTAAAAAAAAATTTGATGGAATAACAGAAATAAATGAAATTTGTGGAAAGACTATGTAGGTCCATTTAAACTGTATGTTAAACTTTGACTGTTTATTCTAATTCAATCTTTTTAAGATTGTACATTATAATTAGTGTAATTTTTGTTCACTTTATATTCAATTTTTGTTATTAGTATATTTCTAGATATGAATCTTCGAAAATGTTTACATTTTTCATCCCCTATCAATCCCCTCAAACGGTGTCGACATTATTTCAAAATACTCTGTGTTATCGAGTGTGTCATATACGTAAAAATAGATACAATAAATGTACAATAAATGTTAGATATCTCTGTATATGTATTTTAGTAGATTTTTTAATTGTCTATTTTTTATTTTTACTTTTTCTTTTCAAACTATTTTCGTGACTATAGATATTCATTCCGACACTCTCTAAGGGCCGACTATTCCATTCCTTCGGATAAATTATTGTGATGGTAATAAGATGTAAATTATCATCTTATGTGGTAATTTACCTACGAGATAAACAAAACAGTAAAAAAATAGAGAGCATAATTAAGGGAGTAAGTGAGAGTGAGGCAGTGAGCTAAAGTTTACCGAGAGATGGAACAACCTAACTTTAATCCGAGTTATCTGTCATGGGGATTAATAATGTCAGATGAAATTATCGGAGAATATAAGAAATAGGGATTTACTTTTAATGCCTTCGAGTAATACGACTAAAATTAACGGAAGCGCATGAGAGAAGCATAAACAGTATTTTTAATCCAATAATTCTTATCCGAGGAAATTAGCGATTATATGTATAATATAATGTTATATTATATATATAATATATTATACATATATAGATATGTGTAATATATGTTCTATAAATATATGTACAGACATATATATATATAT